TTCCACTGAGCTATCTCCCTGGCCCTGTTTTTTGGGTTTTTGAGACAGGATCTCTGTGTAGTTCAGGCTAGACTAACTGCTGGTATGTAGCCCAACTTAACCTTCAACTTGTGGCAGTCCTTTCACCTTAACCTCCCAAGTGCTGAAATTATAGGCATGTACCGCCATGGTACTATTTTGTGTACTATGAATGATATTTTATAATTATGAAATTTGAAAAAAAAAACCCAGATATTCATAGTGGAGTACATTTAAAAATTGTCAACATGATTGGATATCATAAATGTAAAATAAAGTCAATAATTCCATCTCTAAAATATATGTGGCATGATACTATTTGTATGAAGTTAATGTAAGTATGATAATATTGTCTAGGGATGTAGGCTTTATATTAAACATTCAGAAAATTCAGGGGCTGCTTGAAGGTTACGTACTCTATTAGGTAAAAATTGATCACAGAAAAGTCAAACTGGAAGCCAAAAAGACATTTTGATCTACTTGTTCATGAGAGCATTTCAGGTACTACAGTGTGTGGGCCCCGCAGCACTTAGACAGCTGCCGTGAGAAACTGGCAGCCTTCAGTGCCTGTGTGAAAAAAGAAAAAGTGCACATTCGTTAATGAGGTGTACAGAGAGTCAGCCCCCAAAAGGGATAGGTTGAACATGTGGGCAGAGATAATGAAATGGGAAAGTAAACACACCTTAGTGTACCTTACAGTTGTGTAAGATTAACAAGGAAGATATTTAGGAAAGCAAAGGTAATACTAGGAGTAAAGAAGGGGCCTACTACCAGCATTTCCGGTTCCTTGCTAGCACTAGGGAGTTCAAGCCGTCATTAGTCCTCTACCACCATGGTCTCCTGCGCCCACAGAAAGCTCACGCACCTTCCTGCCCTTTCTGATGAAGGGTGGAGAAGAAAGGCCACAGATCTCAGGCGTTGACAGTGGGGCGCAGGCCACACAGGCAGATTCTGCTTATGCTTGATCATGACAGGGGATGGGAAGATAAGTGAGTCTTTCTGTGTGTGTATTTAGGACTTACTCCAAAAACGCAAATCCCGAGTGAGAATGTTCTCAGCAACAAAAGCCTCTGAGAGCACAGATACTCAAGTTCCAGAGCATCACCTCGTTGCTTTTTTTTTTTTGGCTTTTTTTTGGGGGGGGCGGGGAAGGATCAACAGGGTGTTCTGGGTCTCACTACTAGATCATATACTCTAGTGATCTGCCTGTTTACAGCCTCCCAAGAGCTGGGATTACAGGCATGTACCACCACCCCCAGTCTCAATTATTGTCTCAGCACGCCCCAGGGGCGGGGCTGGCATGGCAAGCCCAGCGAGTGAACCCCCAGCCCCTGCACCTACTTGCAGATGCTTTCATCCGCTGAGTTATTTGGCCAGCCCCAGAGCATCACTTTGACTTCTGTCTTTGTAAGAGACCTGTTCTGCCCCGAAATCTGCCTCACATCTGGTGGTGAGGAGTCCTCTGTCTTCCTCAGCTTGCCAGTAATCGCCCACTGAATTTGCCAAAAGAGACTTTTGGTCCCTGAAGGCTGTAGTCAGACTCTGACCCCAAGTTCAGCCTTCTGTTTTTCTAGAAACTTTTAATAGTGACAGTGTTGCTCTTTTCCTAATGCAACTGACTTCATGCTTGCTGCTGGCTTTTCAGAAGCCAGACCTTATTACTAGGGATAGAAGCACACGTAGATAATAAAACTACCCACACAGGCAGGGGAATGCTAGACACAAGCGTCAGAGTAATAATTGCTCCACAGGGGACACATAAGCTTTACTGACAAAGTTCAAATTCTTCGTTGTGTCATCTTTTTTAAAAATTTTGTAGTGAAAGAAAAGATCTTAGAAATAGCAACAACAAGGGCCAGCAAGATAGCTCAGCGGACTAAGTGCCTGCTAAGGCTAGCGCAGAGGCTGGGGTTCAATCCCCCGCAGCACATGCTGCCCAAGCCCCACCCCTGGGCGTGCTAAGCTGGTCACCGAGACTGGCTGGGCATGGTGGCACATGCATGAAGTCCCAGCGCTGGGGAGGCGGAAAACAGGCATCACCACGAGTCTGAGCTGCATAGTGAGACCCTGTACTAAATACATTAAAAAAAAGAAAATAGCAACAACAAAACCCTTAAGCACCTGGGAATAAATTTAAAACTGAATATTCAAAACTGTGTAAAGCAATCTTTAAAACTTAACTACAAAATATCCTTTATTCTGCCTCATAAAGAGGATTTGCTCTTCTGGGGCTGGAAGACACTTAACCGTAGTGATAATGATGTCTCATCTAGAAAAGTTAATGCCTGAGAACAGCCACACAAGGCAGTGGGTGTTCACAGTAGGTATTAGCATATTTTAATGCTATAGTGATGAAAATCATTTGTCCTGCTGTAAAAGTGGAACAGTGAAATAGTGAAAGGAATCCAGAAATAGAGCTAAGCTCACCTGAGAATGTAGCTGTGGTAGTATTTGCCCATCAGAAAGCAAAAAGGGCATGTTTGGAGAAAGTAGCTCTTAGATCCCTTATTTATTTACTTACTAGATACCAAGGATTGAGCTCAGGCCCCCACACTTGCCAGACAGGCGCCCTGCGCTGAGCTGTATCCCCAGTGCTCAGTTCCCTACTTCAGCAAAAACATTCAGACTGAAGTAGAGTAAAAAAACAGAATCAAACCCTAAAAACAAAACTACAATAAGAAAGCATGAATTAATTTATATTTTTGTTGTGATACTTTCTTTTTAAACAGATTTAATACCAGATGTCATAGAGGAGAAAAGTGGATACATGTATTTAAAATTCTGAGTGGAAAAATATTATAATCAAACTCAAAAGACAGATGACAAACTGAGGAAAAATCTTTGTGCCACAAATGGAAATTTTCCTTAATTGACAAAGATCTTGTATAAATGAAAAAGACTAATAGTCCAGTACAAACAAGACAAAGGATTTGAGCAGATAATGTGCAGAAAAATAAATATGAAAGGCCAGTAAACGTAAAAAATTTCTCTCGTAATTAAGGAACAGTGGGATAGCTTTTGGTTTTTACCTCAGTTGGCCTAACAGTTTGTTACTACTATAACTTGAAATTTGGGGGCTCAGGGTGGCTTTGCAGTGGATGGTATTACAAAGTGCCCAATTCTGAGGACGGTGTGGCACTGTCCGTGTGTGAAGTGCAAGAACTCTTAGTCTCAGTTGTACTGCCCCTGAGGAACGTAGAGGATACTCCCCAAGTTACCACAAGGATGTACAGCGTTGTGTGTTTTATCCTTAGTGGAAAAGCTGCACAGGATCCTGAGCAGTGCCTGGAGTTAAGAGTGCAGGTCAGGCCCGGCCCACTCGCTGGGTCTAGCTCTTGTGACTGGGGACACGGGAGGGAAGTCTGCCACCCTCCCATGTTGGCAGTCCTGTCCCATAAGGGTTGTCTTAGTGGCCATGGGAACAAGAGAGTTGTACTCGGGGCCAGCCGTTGTCACAGATTAGCTGTAAGCCCACCTCGCTGGCCTGGAAGACCTACTGAAGTGGGCCTTTGTATCTGTTGATGAGAAGAGAGAGGCCTGGAGGGCAGGCAGCAAGGGCCCAAACTGAGTGTGTTGGTGGGCTGTGTGTCCCGGAGTGTCACAGTGCCCCGGGCTATGTGCAGAGGGTCTCCGTCCTGTGCTGACCGGTCCTTCGAGATCGTGGCCTGCAAAGCCTGAGATCCGCTGCTTGGGCTTAGGTCGCCTCTTCCAAGCAGCACTGCCCCACTCTGGGGCACGCTTCCCCCACTGGCTCCAAGAGCGCTGGTGTCAGACTGATAGGTGAGCTATTGTTAGTTCCCAGGGAGAAGCCATCTTCCTCCTTTTGCGCTGTTTCAGACAACTCCAGGGACCTCACAGAGAAGTTTGCCATGCAAATTGTAATCAGTTGGTATGAACACTTAACCTGGAGGAGGATGCATACCGAGGTCCTCTATAAACAGAAGTACACAGAACCATAAAAGAGGAGAAAGAGGGAGGAAGAATGAGGAGTTTTTGCTAGGAAATAGAGATAAAAAGAATTAAGTTCCTCCCACATCTACATAGCATCACCACCTCAGTTTGACAAATGATCTGTATTCCATGTAGATTTGCCATTAAAAGTCGAATACGTTTGGTTTGAGTGGGATGAAAGCAGAATTTTTACTTCTGCTCTTAGTGACAGAGACAAGGGCTCCTGTTTGCGTGTTGTGGTTCATGTCTCTTTTTTGTGGGAAATACCACTATTCATAAAAATCCTAGTCTAAGCTAGATTTCCATTCCCTGCTACTTATAGGTAATCTGACATCTGTCTTCCTGGCTGGTAGTAGAGGATGGCCTGTGCCTTAGGTCTGTGACTGAAGTAATTGTAAAACATCTTTCCTGAGCCCTCCTCTTAACGCCAAGGGGGAGACTTGTGAAGTTCTTTTTCTGTGGATATAGGAAGTCAGAATGGTCTCGGTGAGCCCTGTGAGGTCTTCCAGGTTCCACTGCTAACGAGAAAGAACCAGAAATAAAATAAAAGCTTTGGATCTGTTGTGCTTTGTGGTAAGGAAAAAATTCTGGAAATAAAACATCCTTTAATAGGATACTGAGTCCGTAAATTATAGGCTGTCCATTAAGTGGCATATTTCTTAGATTTTTGAAATAAGATCTGTGTATTCTGATATGGAAAGATCTAGAATAGTTATTCATGGATTCAAAACTGGCTCCATGTGTACTGTCAGGATCCTCTGTGGAAGCGGTACCGGACCACCCACAGCAATGCCTTTGTATGAAATGTTGCAGGGCTGAAATGTAAGCGTTTCTTTTGGGAAGACATGGAGAGGAGAGCATTTCCATTTTTGTTTTATACTCTCTGATTGTTCTTGTTGTGGAAGTATATATCTGCTGTTGTCTGGGCGATGGGATTATAGCTAACCTTTCTGGTCTTGTGTCTGATTTTCAGTATTTTATCTTTATTATTCAATGTTAAATATAGTTTCTGTTTTGCTGTCCATGTATAGATTACATCGAATGACATCAATTGAAAGAGAAGAAAAGGAAAAAGTAAAAAAAAAAGAGAAAAAACAGGAAGAAGAAGAAACAATGCAGCAAGCCACGTGGGTAAAATACACATTTCCAGTTAAACATCAGGTAATTTTTACCGTCATGTTTTTGTTTGGTTGGTTTGGGCTTTTTTGTTTGTTTTGGTACTTTGAATTGAATTCCTGACCTGGTACTCGTCAGGCAGGTGCTGTGCTGCGGAGCTGTGTCCCTGGCTCTACTGTAATCTTTTAAAAATTAAAAAGTACTACCTGTTTCTGAGACTTCTCCAATTATGATACTTTATAATTTTGTTTTACTTTTGACATAATCATTTAGTGTAGTTGTGGTGGAATACATCTTTCTGATGATCAAACATAGATTTGATTTGTGTTAGTAATACAGGAGAGCTTGGGGCCAATTTTTTGAAATTGTTATAAAATTAAAATTTTGTTATATTTAGAAAGTAAAGCTAAGCTGGGCATGGTGGTACATACCTGTAATCCAAGTACTTGGGTAGTTGAGGCAGGAGGGTTGTCATAAATTTGAGGCCATCCTGAGGCCTCAGGATGGCCTCAAATTTGAGGCTACAAATTAAGACCCTTTCTCAAAAAAAAAAAAAAAAAAATAGTAAGTTCTTTCATATACTTTGATTGCCAATGAAAATGATTGGTGAATTTTTTTTTAAATTTAATTTTATTTATGTATTTTTTTGTGTGGCCAGCTCAGCCCACCCTGGGGGCGGGGCTAGTGTGGCATGTCGTGCCCGGGATCGAACCTCAGTCCCTGTACACTTGCCTAAGCTTGCCTAAGCAGGCGCTTTAGACCGTTGAGCTATCTCCCCGGCCCTGATTGGTGAATTTAAATAATGTTCTTTTAAAACAATTTTTATGTATTTGGTACAGGGTCTCACTATGCAGCTTACAGTAATTCTGTTTCTGCTTTCCCAGTGCTGGGATTACAGGTGTGCGCCACCTCACCAGGTCTTTTTTTTTTTTTCCCTCTGAACCAGGGATTGAACTCAGGCACTTGCACTTGCCAGGCAAGCGCTTATTCTACTGAGCGATCCCTCCGGCCCTACCACACCCGGTCTTGAAGGCAGGCTCAGTGCACCTGGGGCCAGCATGGCCTGTGGTACCAGGGGTTGAACCCCAGTCCTTGTGCTTGCCTACGCAGGCGCTTAGACCACTGAGCTATCTCCGCTGCCCAAATTGAAATAATTTTCTTCCTACTACTCTTGTTTGAAAAATGTATAATTCCACACATACTTTATAAGCATGTTGTTTATTAAATGTATTTTCCTTTATCCCAGGTTTGGAAACAAAAAGGAGAGGAGTACAGAGTAACAGGATACGGTGGCTGGAGTTGGATTAGTAAAACTCATATTTATAGGTTTGTCCCTAAATTGCCAGGCAACACTAATGTGAATTACAGAAAGTCAGTAGAAGGAAGTAAGTGGCTAGTTTAACAATTATATTTAACTTAATATACTATTTTAAGTAATAATTGCTTTTTCTATGTAACCATTTTTGATTTGTATTTTCTTATAAGTCATAGCATATTGGCCACATTTTGGATAAAATCTATTTACCATTTTAATATTATGTGCAAAATTACTATTGTTTACCAGTTACAAACTCTGGCATATAAAAACTTTAATTTTCTTCATAAGATTTTGATGTCTACAATTCAGTTAAAGATGACAGAAAAGAGTTGTTTTATTTCAAATCCCACAGCCATCTAATTTCAGTGTTGTTTTTCAAAATTTTAAATTCCGTACCAGTTAACTTCTTGAAAAGCAGTCCCATATCTGGAAACATTGACATTATAGTGCCTGACAGATCTGGAGGCGAGGTGATGGGGGCTTGTATAGCGTTGCCGCATGAGGGGCTGTTTGTGCAGTTTTTACTACTTCCTAACAAGCCGTAGTATTTAGAAGGTCAGCGTTCTAGAGCCGAGTTGCCCCGTGGAGTGATAATGTATTTTTAGACACCTGTTAAAGGAGCAGATTACTTTATGAAGTTGGTAAGTGGCACATTTAGGTTCACACGGAGGAAAGCAATAGCACCCAGGCAGAAGCGTGTCTCCGCGCTTCTGAGCCCGCTTGCCATCTGCCAGTGGTCCTCGTTATCCAGGTGACTTGCAGCAGCGTGGGGATGCTGTGTGCTGTGCTTTGCCAGCTCATGCTGTGATGTGTTCTTGCTGATGACACCGCATGAGCGGATAATGGAGTGCACAATGAGTAGCAGGACCCTCCTCTAGTAGCAGACTGAGCTCTGCGCATGGTTCTAGGGAAACATGGGCTGGTAGAGTTAAGAAATTGGTGCTGTGTAAAGTTGTCGGTTTATCTGGAAACAGGAAAAGAAAAGTACGTACTTCAAAAGGTCTATGGAATTTATAGGTTCCGTCTTGGAGCATCTTAAACACAATAATTTCTATTTTGGAAATAGTAATACAGTTGTTATTTAATTCATGTCAAATATTAACTATAGTAAATTAGAACAGAGCATTATAAATTTCATTTTTTTTTTTTTTTTTAATGTATTTGGTACAGGGTCTCATTACAGAGCTCAGAATCGTAGTGATCCTCCTATTTTCAGCCTCCCCAGCACAGATTTCAGGCATGTGCCACCATGCCTGGTCTTGGTCACTGTGCCTGGGGGTGGGGCCGGCATGGCATGTTGTGCTAGGGATTGAATCCTGGTCTCTGCGCTTACCTACAGAGGCGCTTAGTCTGCTGAGCTATCTTACCATCCCATTACAATTTTCTTTTATTACTATTTTATTGTTCCAGTTACCCATGTAGCATGTATATTTATAGAGAGCTTCTTATTTATATAATCTGATTTGACCTATGTGATAAAAATGCACATGATCAATACCCAAATTATTTTTTGCAGATTTATTTTAACACCCACTGTCCTTAGCATAAAGCTTTCATTGTTCAAGTACTGGGCTTTCTTTATCTAGTCAAGTACTAAGTTGGTATTTTTGAGACTTTTCTCCCAAATAATGCCAAGGAAACCAGCTGTGCACACTCCAGTGCTCCAGGGCTCTCTGACTGTAGCCCCAATAAAGGCAGCAGCAGGCACCAATTAGTAAGGTCAGAACTACTATCCCTATCATAATGACTACCGTCCTCCCAGCACTAATGTAGTCTGACCTGGTGATGGAGTCAAAACTGTGCTGAAATGAAAGAAGCGCAGGGCACAAAACGCTTGACTTAGTGCCTGAAGGCTGGACTGTTAACCTTGCTTGTGTACCTATCTCTGATCTCTGGTATAGCTCTAAAACTGGCATTTTTGTTCCACAATATGTTATAGTCTTCAGTAAAATATATGCATGAGATAGTCTTTTTGTTATAAAGAACTTGAATTTAGGGTTGGGGGTGTTGCTGGAGATGATACCCTGGTCCTCATGCATCACCAAGCAGGTTTCTACCACTCAGCTAAACTTTCAGCCCCAAAAGACCTTTGGTTTACGGGAAGACCATTTATGCTTCTCTATTTGAAATATCAAAGTTGTCATAGCTTATAGAAGGGGCTACACTGCCACCTAAAACTAACTGGGCAACTTAAAGTGTAAGGGCTGGTAAGATAGCTCAGTGGACTAAGCGCCTGCTTTGGCAAGTGCAGGGACCAGGGTTTGGTCCCCGGTCCCACATGTCATACTGGCCCTGCTCTTGGGACTGGATGAGCCGCTGACTTGAGTCTGTGTGTGGTGTTGCACGCCTGTAATCCTAGTACTGAGTAGGCTGAAAACAGGAGGATCATTGTGAGTCCCAGCTGCGTAGTGAGACCCTGTGCCAAATATATACATGGACCAAAAAAAAAAAAAAGAAAGTATAGGGTCGGGGAGATAGCTTAGTGACATAATCACCTGCCTGGCAAGTGCAAGGTCCCAAGTCAATCCCTGGTTGGTACCACACACAAAAAAAGGAAAAAAAAAATGCCGGTGGGGGGTTGGTCAGTGATCTAAGGACCTACTTGGCAAGCGCAGAGCCTGCCTGGGTTTGATCTCTGGTATCACATGCCGTGCTGGCCCCTCACTGAGCCCACCACTGAAACTGGGAGTGGTGGCGCATGTCTGTAATCCCGGTGCTGGGGGGCCTGAGACAGGAGGATCACTACGAGTCTGAGTTGCAGCGAGACCCTCTGCCAAATAAATAAAAAAGATTTTTAAGAACTAATAAATAAAAATATATTGTGTAGTGTGGTGGTGCACACCTGTAATCCTAGCATGTAAGAGGCAGTGCAGGAGGATCACGTGAGTTGGAGGCCAGCCTAAGCTATATAGTGAGTTCAAGGCCAGCCTGAACTATACATAGCAAGACCCTGTCTCAAGATCATGTGATATAAAATAAGATAAAAATAAAATGAGGGGACATATATGCTACCTTCAGCTTTTAAGTGAAAAATAATAAAATGTTATGTATGGAAAATTCTTGAGCATTTCCACTAAAGTCGATATACCAAATTTCTAACGTTGGCTATCTCTGTAATTGCTGTGTACTTGGTTTTTTTTTAGCCAAAAGTAATATGGATGAAAACATGGATGATTCAGATAAAAGAAAAAGTCCACGAAGTCCAAAAGCAGTAAAAACTGAGCCTGACAGTGAGAAGGGCGAGGTGAAAGGGTCAGATGCTGGCAAAGGAGTGGAGCAGAGTGTGATGGGGACTTCGGAGGTGCCTGAGAAGGAGGACCAGGGTAAGGGTGCACCACTGGCAGCCCGGCGTGAGGCGTGAGGCCGGGTGCTCTCGCCGCTGCCCCCCACTCCCCCTCCAGTCCAGTTGTCTCTGTTGGGGAACGTTTTATGTGAAACAACTCATGAGCCGTGTAGCTCACCCGCCTGCAGTGTAGTCAGTGGCTTCTATGCTCACAGGGTAGTTCAGCCGTTCTCGGAACTTACTCCGCACTTTCCTCATCTCAGAACAGCTTCTCATACTCAGTAGCAGTCACTTTTCTATCCCTGCAGCCCACAGTCTGTTCTATCCCAATGGATTTCTCATTTGCATTTTGTTTTGTTCTGCTGTGGGGTGGATTTATTTTTATTTTGCTTTGGTTTGGTTTGGTTTGGTTTGGTTTGGTTTGGTTTGGTTTGGTTTGGTTTGGTTTTGTTTTGTTTTGTTTTGTTTTGTTTTGTTTTGTTTTGTTTTGTTTTGTTTGGCAGAACCCGGGGTTGAACACAGGCCCTTGCGCCTGCCAGGGAAGCACTTATTCCACTGAGTAGGTGCTTTAGACCACTGAGCCATCACCCCAGCCCCTGGTGTTTTGTTTTGAGTCAGGGTCTCACCATGCAGCTCAGGATGGCCTGGAGCTCACTTTGTAGCCCAGGCTGGCCTCAAACTGGCACTGACCTCGTCCTTCAGCTTCCCAAGTGCTAGAGGTACAGGCGAGCACCATGATGCCTAGCTCTGGATTTGCCTATTTTGATCATCTCATTAAGTAAAATCAAGCAATAAGTTATTCTTTATGGGCAATCTCTTTCTCTTAGTATATTTTCAAGTTTCATCCATATTATAGCATTTAGGGCTGGAGAGATGGCTCAGTGGTCTAAAGCACCTACTTAGAACAAGCATAGCAAAGCACAGGGACCGCGGTTCAATCCCCAGCACCACATGCCAGCCAGCCAGCCCCGCCCCCTGGTGGGCTGAGCTGGACACACACACACACACACACACAAATAAAAAATTTTTAAAAATCATATTATAGCATTTATCTATGCTTTGTCCTTTCATATTTCCAATATTCCATTGTATTGATAGACTACATTTTATTTATCCAGTTGTTGGTTGACAAACATTTAGCCTTTTTCTATTTTGTAGCTATTGTGATTAATTCTGCTATATTTGTGCATAGTTTTTTATAGACATTTATTTTTACTTCAGAAATAGACCTAGGAATAAAATTATTAGATCACGTAGTAACTTCATGTTTAAGATTTTGAGAATTTTACATTGTCTTTTGCCAGAGATTTAGCTCAGTGGCATAGCCCCTTCCTGGCAAGCATGAGGTCGTGAGTTTGCTTCCTGGTATACCACCCACCCATCCCTCCAAAAAAGAAATAATAGTACATTGTTAAAAGTCATTTTTTTGGAAGCTGAAAGTTAAATAATACATATAGCTAATGACATTTTATACCTAAAGACACTGGTATATTTAATAGCCTGTCACATACTAAGTAATTTTTCATTATAGCATTCTATCACTTTAAGATACTAAGAATGAGAATACTACCTCCCCAGCCCCAAACGGTCTCACTATTCCAGCCTGGCCTTGAGTTCTGTGCACCCTGGATTGGCTTTGAACTTGTAGCAATCCTGCCTCAGCATCGCAAGTGCTGGAAATGCGGGCATGCACCAGACTACAAAACTTAGATAATAAATATGTTAAGCCTTTCATAAAGTTTAAAATGTATTCATGACATATTGTAGTTCTATAAGAAATTTTGAAGTATATTGATAATCCTTTTTAGTGTGAAATAAGAAAAGTAGGTAAGTAAAGCCATGCTGTTATGCTGAGCTATAGGGGACTCAGGTCAACAATTTCTGACATTGCCAGTGAAGCAGAAGACCCAATAGTATTATGGACTACTGGACTCTTTCAGAATATTTTGCTGAGTTAACACACCTATAATATTCAAATAACGGAACTAAACCAAAAAAGGGGATACAGATGAATATCCATTTTGTATCTATGTATTCAGAATGGATAGGATAGATATATAGTTACATTCTCTTAATGAGTATAGGATTTGTTCTAATAGTATTTGTAAATAGGATATCATGTCCGCATCTTATACAGCAGTTAACCACTAGGAAGAATGTATGTAATGTGTTAATTATTGAAACTGTCCTACCAATTTGGTTTGAAACTGTCTCATTGCTATTTGTTTCTCAATAAAATTATGGGGCGGGGGGAGAAAAGTAGGTACTTTACAAATAAAATTGTCATGAATTCCTTTTTTTAAATAAAAATTTTATTTATATAAATGTCTTATTTTACAGAAATGAAAGAACATTTAGATTCTGACAATGATAAATCCTTCAAGGAAGAACCAATGGAAATAGATGATGTAAAAACAGAGTCACACATAAATTACCGGGAAAGTTGTCCTATAGATGTGGTCAATGTCAGTGAGGGTTTTCATCTACGGACTAGTTACAAAAAAAAAATAAAATCATCCAAACTAGATGGACTTCTTGAGAGGAGAATTAAACAGTTTACACTGGAAGAAAAGCAGCGCCATGAAAAAATAAAGTTGGAGGGAGGAATTAAGAGCACAGGAAAGTCTTCTCCGAGTCCTTTGAAAAGTCTCTCTGAGTCACCAGTACTACCAAAAGTGAAGGAACAGTGTCACACTGACTTGCCTAGACAAGAACACAACCCCAGTGGAAGTACTGACAAATCAGAGGACTTGATTCATGGATGTTCCCAGAGCGAGTCCTCCATGCTTGGAATTAGTGATCCAGGTCTTACTACAAATAAAGTGTATCTAAAAGATCATATGTTAGATGATTTTTCCATTCAGGGTCCAGGGAGAAGCTATCAGAAACAAAATCCCATTGAAAATGACCTAGATGTCAGTCTCTCTGAACCAATCAGCAAAGGCCAGGAACTCAGTAGGATTAAAACTAAAGGAAGTGATTTTTTCATTGATGACTCTAAATCAGTCACTGGAGGTGATATTGGTAGTTTGATCTGTAAAAATAAAAAACCACTCAACCAGGAAGATAACAACACCACTGTTTCTTCTGAAAGTGCTTTGCCTCCATCAATACCTAAAAGTTCTGGGGACAGAGATACCTCATCCCTGTCAAAAGGACTGGACTTTGATGGAAAATTAGGGTGTGACGCTGAGTATAATAGCACTTTAGAAAATAGTTCCGATACTATGTCTGTTCAGGATAGCAGTGAAGAAGATATGGTTGTTCAGAATAGCAAGGAAATTGTCTCTGAACAGTTCATGACTCCAGAACAAGGTGTCGGCAGCTTGGGACCATTGAAAGGTGCGCTTGTTTCTGATAAGTCTACTAGAAACTGTGATAACAGGTTACACGGTAAAGTAACTGAAACAAATGGCAGAAGAGCAAGTCAACAGCAGAAGCCAGAGAGACCTGTTAATAAATGTATTGATCCAGTAAGTCTTAAAAATATCACGGACAAGAAGAATAATGAAAATCGGCCTGAAAAGAAAGGACAGAAAGCAACTACATTTCAGATAAATGGAAAAGATAAAGTATGTTTGAAAAGTCAATGCTTGAAAGAAAGCTCTGAAAGTAAAGTAGTAAGTGGTAATGTTGAACCAAAGGTTAATAATATAAATAAAACAATTCCTGAGAATGATATTAAGTCATTGACTGTTAAAGAATCTGCTGTTAAGCCATTTATTAATGGTGATGTCATCATGGAAGATTTTAATGAAAAAAACAATTCAGTAACAAACTCATGTTTACGAAGTTCTTCCAATGCTGAAGGTAATTACCAAACCAGCCTGAAGACTCCACCATCAACCAGAGAGTCTGATGATAAACAGTGTATCATACCTGTGTCTTGTTCACAAAGCAATTCATTTAATCAGGTAGAAGAGATGGAAATTGGAACTTCGGAAGTTAAGAAAGGTACCTTCTCACCTGTTACATCTGGAGAAGAGTCTAACCTCAGTAGTGATTTTGTTGATGAAAATGGTCTTCCCGCTGACAAAGGTGAAAACGTCAATGGAGAATCTAAAAGAAAAACAGTCATCACAGAAGTCACCACCATGACATCCATGGTGGCCACAGAATCAAAAACGGTGATCAGGGTTGCAAAAGGGGATAAGCAAACTGTGGTCTCATCCACAGAAAATTGTGCCAAATCCACGGTCACAACCACCACAACTACAGTAACAAAGTTGTCCACACCTTCCCCAGACAGCAACATGGACATCATCTCTGTAAAGGAGCAGAGCAAAACCGTGGTCACCACCACAGTGACAGACTCGCTCACCACAGCAGGAGGCACACTGGTCACATCTATGACTGTGAGCAAAGAGTATTCTACCAGAGACAAAGTAAAACTGATGAAATTTGCAAGACCAAAGAAGACTCGTTCAGGTACAGCTCTGCCATCTTATAGAAAGTTTGTTACCAAGAGCAGCAAGAAAAGCATATTTGTTTTGCCTAATGATGACTTGAAAAAATTGGCCAGAAAAGGAGGAATCCGAGAAGTCCCTTATTTTAATTATAATGCCAAACCTGCCTTGGATATTTGGCCCTACCCTTCTCCTAGACCCACCTTTGGTATCACTTGGAGGTATGTACTTGAAAAAGTGTATGTGGGGGAGCAAGAAAATCCTGAAAGAATTAATCTCATTTTTTTCAAAATCTCATTTTTATAATAAAATAATGGCAATTAAGACAAGGAAGCATATCTTTAAAGCCCAGTTAGAAGATACAGAAAATCTTTAACTTGGTCAGCTAGTAATAAAGTTTACAGACTTCAAATATAAGGGAATCCGCTGTAAACTTTCCCAAGACAGAGGTAACATGTCAAATCTGGCTGTTTTTGTAATCTAACTTCCCAAGTTACTTGCCCTGAGAACCAGGTCACTGCAGAATTCTAAAATCACCAACTTTCTAAAATGTTTGTATTTTATTTCTGTGAAATGACTCATTAAAGCATAAGCCATGGGCCGGGGAGATGGCTCAGTGGAATAAGCACTTGCCTGGCAAGCTCAAGGACCTGAGTTCAATCCCCAGTTCTGCCAAAAAAAACCCAAAAAACTTAAGCCATAAGAAAATATACCTATAAATTTCACAAAGTGGGGCCGGGGAGATGGTTCAGTGGAATAAGCGCTTCCCTGGCAAGTGCAAGGACCTGAGTTCAATCCCCGATTCCACCCAAAAATAAATAAATAAATAAATAAATTTCATAAAGTTCTTGTAATCTTCCTAATGTAATTTTTTGGCATAGTAAATACCAGTTTGGGAGTTCTCTGTTACTTATGTAAGAAAAGGTAGACTCTTAAGATTCCTTAGGAATTTTTTGAAATCCCAAAATAGCCCTAATTTTACTTTATTTTGTTGTTTATTTTCTAAGCATGGTTTTAGTATTACACATTGTTGTCCTCAATGTAGTTGCTTTGTTCACAGATATCAACATACAGAGTTAGAGTGAGAATTCTGCCCATTAACTGCTCTTTTTAAAAACCTGATGTAAATTCTTAAGACTCTTGCCTTATCCATCTTGTATATGTTCATGTATGATTTTTCCCCTTAGCCCTGATTTTAAAGTTTCTAGTTTTGGGGAAAACCATAAGTATATAGTTTGGACAGTGATAAAATCATGTCTCTTTATATTAAGACTGGATTTTAGAAATTTTAATACATTGTAAATTGCTATTGACTGTAGAGGAGCAGTTAGAAAGAGTGCCTGCTTTTCCTAAATCCCAGCCTAGCACTTTTATCTGAAGAATCATATTACACGTATTTGGTTTTGCTTTTTTTCCTTTTTCATATCCTTCTCCTGCTCTCCCTCCCCTCCCCTTTACCCTTACAGTGGAACCGAATAGAACATAAACGTTGCAAACATGAGTTTGGGGACCATACTCGGAATCAGGATAATCTTAGTAGCAGTTACATTTTGATAGGTGCTTGAAATTATTTCAACAAGTGGCTGAGCAAAATTCATTTCTCTTAGGACTACATTTCTGTGTCTTTTAATAATGTTTCCAGTTTAAGTCACACGTTGTGTCTTTTATGTTACAATCAGCTACTATCAGAAAAGACCAGAAAAGAATGTAAGTACCTATATAAAGGAATTAATTTCGTAATGCAGCCAATCATAGTTGTATAACCGAAGTTTTTTATAATTCATCTTTTGATTTGAAGTAAAATTTCATCACTCCATGACACATTCAATAGAGACAGCTGAAAAGTACAATTTCTCTGCAGGGCCTGCAATGAAGGATTTGCAGAATCCTGCAGGGAATCAAGGAACTCTTCATTACAGTTCATGGATTTGTAGGATTGCTCTGCACTTTTCTGCTTTCTTCATTGAGAGCGGTCCCAAAATGTATCCTTGACTGTCCTGCAGGTAACTTCTTTCCCACTGGAAAAGTTACTATGTACAGATATTTTAATTAAAATGACTGGCAGTTAGGAGGCGGCCTTTCTGCTCTTTGCTGTCTGAGGCGACGCCAGGCTCACCGGGGCGCACTTTCCTCTGAACTCTCGGGAGAAAGCTGCCAGTCGTACCCACTCGGTTCTCAGGGCCTGTCTGATGGCCTGGCTTGAGGCGTCTGGTGATGCTTGAATATGCTTTGTGGCACAGTTCAGATCTGTTTAATTTCTCATTTCTAATGAAAGGAAATACCTTCTTTTTTTTTTTCTTTTTTGAGATAATTGCTTTCAAATATATTGTGACATCTTAGTTTGCTGAAGTTGAAACAGACATAATCCCCTCTTGTCTAATGGAGGAATGGACAGATATATGTTATTCTTGTGTTTAGAATACAATTTTTAAAAATTTGCTATAAGTAACATGCGTGTGAAGTGCATTTTTATACTAAGACATCGAATGTTCCTTAGAGAAGAGCTAAGCATGCCAAAGGCGTGTGTACGATTTTTATTAATTTAATGTTAAGGCTAAGCAGTATGGGGAAAAATGCCTCCCAGACACAGGAGAACCCATTTGCCCCATGCTGCCCACTCCCTCATGACCTTTTCCCGGCCCCTGACGGTCTCTTTACTCTTTTAAACTAATAGCTGTCATGCACCACGCTGCCAGAATGGGTTGCCTCTAGTGCCAGTCTGTGCTTCAGGGATTTGGAGTTTGCTGAGCGACTTGCTGACTGCCGAGGGCAGGCACGGGGAAGCGTTTGTCACCTACTGATTGGATCTGTGAGAAGTATTTTCCTTTCCAGCCCCCTGAAGGTGGAGGCCTTCATGTGAACGCAGCAGCACTTAGTGCCCTCTGCCTTCAGACTGGACCAGCACTCCCAGCTTCCCCCTTGCTCTCCCATGCCAGCGCCATTCCTACACCTGCCCGCCCTGCCAGCCACAACACGCCTACCGTGCTGTTGGGGAAGAAGTGTGCACTCTTGCACACTCTGCTTCTTAATGTGCGTGTGCCCTTCCCTTTGGCCAGCTGCCCTCACACCTGTTTCTCGTGTGTGGTCTCCTTCTCTGAGCCACATTAGATGTATTACTCCTGTAATATATGTGTCACCCCTGTACTTTCTCTTTATGGCAAATTGAAAATACAACCAGATTCTGGCTCACTGCTGTGTCCCTTGCTCCTTTCATAGTTCTAAGCTGTGGAAGGCACACAGCTATTTTTGAGTGAATAAATGGATGAGCAGGCTGATAATCCAAGAAGTGTATTCCTCCCTTGGTTTAAAAATATAGATGCCTGACCAGAGGAAGCAAGCTGCTGGGCAGACAGCATGAGCTCTTTGTCCTCGGTGTTCAGAGGGATTTCTCCAGGTTGTGGGCTGAAAGTGACAGACATTTCCCGCTCTTGTGACATCTCTGTGCTAGTCAGTGTATCCGTCAGCAATTTAAGGGTTGCTCTGTCCAGATCAGATGGTTGGCAGTCTGCAAGCAGTGAGGAAAACCATGGCATCCTAAGCAGAGCTGTGAAGTTAGGAAGTTGCAGGAACTTTTGGATAGTTTTGCCTTGCATGTGCAAGTTATCTTAAGATTTCCTGTCAGAGGGCTGGGAAGATAGCTCAGTGGCATAAATGCCTACAAGGTCCTGAGTTCAATCCCCAGTACCAAAAAAATTCCCTTCAGAGCTGGAGTTGCGGCTCCATGGTACACTCTTGCATGTACAAGGCCCTGGGTTTGATCCGCAGCACCCCTCCTCTCCGCCAAAAAGATTTACTATCTACTGCATTAGTAGAGGAAATTATTTTCATTTTATGGGCTTTCACTATACTGTAGTCAGCCAATGAGTTCATTTACATAGTGGGAAAATGGCAACAAAGTATTATCCAAAGTGCAGTAAAGAATGGACAGCCTGAGGCTGCTTCCAAATGTCTAGGGCGAATTCCATGTTAGGTATGATATTCACTGCAGTTGAATAAATTCACTTCAAAATGCATTTCTAGTATTTTTAAAAGAATATTAAAATACATCACTATACACACTTTCTATTCATTGTAGGATCTCAAAACTACACTAACATTAAAATATTTTTTGCATTTCAGTAGTAGTATCACCCAGTAGTTGATGTTTTGAAGAACTACTATTTGGCTATGAACTTTTTCTTCTCACTTGGAAACAGTTTTAATTTTATTTTGCTTTTTGAGAAAATGTAAACATTTTTAAGGTTTTGTTGTTACTTTGTTTTTAACTGCTTGATCAAAAGTCACAGTTTTATCTTTTTTTTTTTTTTTTTTGGTGGAACCGGGGATTGGACTCAGATCCTTGCGTTTGCCAGTCAGGTGCTTATCCTACTGAGCCATCTCCCAGCCCCTCGGTTTTATCTTTTACAACTCCTTTCTCACATTTGGTAGCACATTTTTCTACATTTGCTCTTCTTCCTAACTTTTAAAATATTTATGAATATTAAGTTATAAAATCTTTATAAATTATTACCATGCTAACCTTAAAATGAGACATGCTCACTTTACATATTTATGTGGCATTTGGAATTCATATGGATCTTTTTAAAGTTGTTAGGCGCATGTTATGCCAAGAATTAAGATTGTTTTTTAAGGCACCTGTAGTGCCAAATCATACCACAGAGCCGAAGTTATGTGAATTGAAAGCACAATCCTTGGGTTTCTGAGAGAAAGTGAACATGAGGATGAGTATGCGCATGTGTGTACCTGCCCGTGCACACACAGGGCCACAGCTTTGCGTGGCTTGCTCTTTCAGGTACAGACTGCAGACCGTCAAGTCCTTGGCGGGCGTGAGCCTGATGTTACGGCTGCTGTGGGCCAGTCTGCGCTGGGATGACATGGCCGCCAAGGCTCCTCCGGGGGGCGGGACCACACGCACAGGTAAGCGGGTTCTTCTCCTTTTTAAACTTAAAAAATAAAGCTGTTTCACTATTCACTTAGTCATCTTTGCTTCAACTGGGCACGTACCTGCAGGGCAGGGGTAAGGTCTGGATTACAGAGTCACAGCAAATGAACAAGTCTGAATCGTAAAGTGATAAAATTGTTGAACTCGGGATATAGCTGATGATAAAACACCTGCATATATGTACAGGCCACTGAGGTTAATCCCTGTACTACCAAAAACAAACTCCACAAATAAATAGTAAAGTATCTTTTTGTTTAGTTTTTTCCAGACAGGACCTTAGGTAGTTCAGGCTGGTCTTGAACTCTTGGCGAAACACCTGACTCAGCTTCCCAGTGTTGGGGGCTGCCCCGTAGCTCAGCTCTTTAAGTGCCTACTTCAACAAAGCAGTGAGGCTCAGGTTGCTGGGCTTCAATCCCCAGAACTCAAGCCAGCCAAACCTGCCCTGAGGGCCTTGGGAGCAAAAAAAAAAAAATCCTTCAGCTTCCCAGTGCTGAGATTACAGGTGTGCACCAACATACTTGGTTACTATTTTTGTAGAATGTAGTCAAGTAAACTGAGATTCCTAGAATCCTGTAGCTAAGCAGTACCCTACAGGACATTGTTCACATTAGAAATTTTCCATGTGGAAGTCAGGCGTGGTGGCACATGCCTGTAATCTCAGCACTCAGGAGGCTGAGGCAGAAGGACTGAGGTGGGTTTGAGGCCAGTGAGGGCTACAAAGTAAGTTCAAGGCCAGCCTGAACTACGTAGGTAAAACCTATCTCAGAAAGACAAAAGAAGAATAAATTCCATGTATAGGAAACAGTGTTGGGCTGGGGAGATAGCTCAGCAGCACAGCACCTCCCTGGCAAGCACATGGTCCTGAGTTTGATCCCTGGTACAAAAAAAAACAGTAACGTTGCTGTGTTTAGCAGTGATCCTGTAGCTATTAATTTATGAACTAGTTTTTTAGTCTTTGAGTATTTTAAGTGGTTATTAATACTGTGTGAATTATATCACCATAGAAACATCAGAAACAGAAATCACAACAACAGAAATTATTAAGAGGCGAGATGTTGGTCCTTATGGGATTCGTTCTGAATATTGTATCAGAAAAATCATTTGCCCCATTGGAGTTCCAGAAGCACCAAAAGGTAGGTCATAAAACGAATTTGTTTCTTCTGCTATTGACGTGTTACCAAAATGTTTTGTGGATTGGAATTTAATAATTGCTTAACTATTTATTCAACATTTTTGAACTTTTTTTCCCCCTCAACATAAAATACTATGTTTTTGTTTGTTTGTTTGTTTGTTTGTTTGTTTGTTTGTTTTTAGCGGAACCAGGGATTGAACTCAGGCCCTTGTGCTTGCCAGGGAAGTGCTTATTCCACTGAGCCATCTCCCTGGCCCTGAAATACTATGTTTTTAAAATTATATTTAAGTAATAGCATGTCAGGACTCTAAAGTGCACACTCAAGAAGACATGGCTGTGCTCACTACGCTCCTGGTCCTGGTGCAGAGTGTGAATGGCGGGGCTGTGTGGGCTCGAGAGTTAATGTGTCTGCAGGATGCTTCAGTAATTAGGCTGGAGACGTAGCTCAGCACAACACCTGCCTGGCAAACGGAAGGCCCTGAGTTTGGTTCCCCATGCCAAAAAAAGAGATACTTCAGTAGTCAGGATAGAAAGAAACTAAGAGACATGAGTTATTGAGGAAACATTTGTGTGCACCTCCAGAGTAGATCAGCAGTGGGTAAGCAAACACATAGAAGGATATCCCCCTCTTTTCAAGGAAGCAAGAAAGGTTATAGTCTTTAACATCGTTAGGTTTAAATGTGGTACAGTAGATCAGAAAAATTAATAAGTGGAAAATATTGGAAAAGAAGCAAGATTAATGCTTTAACATGTAGTTATTAATATTGGTCTAGAAAATTCATCAGCATCATTGTGTTCATGTTAAAAGGTACCTTAGAAGACGTCTAAGTAAACCAAGACCAGTAATTGTATAAGAGCAATAAAAATATTGGAGGAAAATCTCTTAAGAAATGTATGAAAAGAAAA